ATGTAAGCCAAAATATCCTTCTTCAAACGAGGCCAATAGAAATGACACAAAATACGGTCATATGTCTTCTTGACACCAGAAACATCATGTGATGTATTCATCACTAGATCCCTAAGTTTAGAAGGAATCACAATCTGAACAATAGTGTCACCTACAAAACTTTGGCTGTGAGGCAGCCATTTCCTCACCAACAACCCATTTTGATAGTGGGCGGCACTCCGAACGTCCTCAACAGGAAGTACTTGGTCATATAACTCTTTCAGCTCATAGCACGAGTCACGGCGCAGGCAGAGAATACCTCAGGGTAGCTCTGTATGCTTTCATTATTTGCTTCTACACAGGATAGAGAATTTGAAACCACCAGTTGAGGTACATCACGCCAGACACGGCTACCGGCTAAGTTGTTACCCAAAAGCACATGCACACCATCAACAGGCAAAAAGGGACGCACACCAAGGGTAACCTCACCTTGCACCAAGTCAGAAATAAGTTCCACTTTGTGCAGGGGAACAGACAACGTAGTCAAACCCATCCCTTGAATTAGGACACTGGTTTCTGTATCAGTCTCCGAAGAGAAAGGCAGAACATATTCCAATACAAACAATTCAGAGGCACCAGTGTCTCGCAGGATCTTTATAGGTACCTGCACCCCACTTCCCAATACGGAAACATACCCACTTGTGATGAATGGCGAATAATTAGGAACGATTGGTGGGGCCAGTTTTTCACCCTGTGCAACAGGACGAACATGAGAAACCGACCCAGCTAGTGCAAAACGCTTCGAAAACTTCTGAGCGTCAGGGAAAGGGACATTCGTTCTTCCAGTGTCACTTTCCCTGACAATAATTACAGACTTCACTTGCTTCGTTTGGTCTACGTGAAACACGTTCAAATTTAGAAGGAGACTGGTCGTTTCCAGAACCCGCAGAATTTGCTGATTGAAGAACAACTTGAACTGTTCCTCTGCCTCCAATCTCTCATAAGGGACCCCCCAGAACGTGAAAACATGGGACAGTTTATCTCCCCTTTTCAACGTCCTAAAACGCTGCCGATACGCTTCAGGGACCAGTACATATGCCTGTAAGACGGCAGTCTTAACCTTTACATAATCAGTGTTAACCTTTACATAATCAGTGTTATCGATAGCACTAAGAGAGGAATAAGCCTCTTGTGCTTTTCCAGTAAAAACGCATTGAAGCATCAACGTGCGATCTGCATCAGGCCAAGCGCGAGAGTGTGCTACACGTTCAAAAAGGTAAAAAAACAGATCAAGATATTTTTCTGTAAACTTGGACAACAACCGGAGATTACGTGAAACATCAAAATGTGAAGGTGGACCAAAAGACGAGCGTCCCAATTAGGGGTGGGGGAAAAATTGATTCTTCGATTTCTCTCTAGAACGATTCGTTCTCGATTCAGAAAAGTTAATAATCGGAATTAAAAAAAAAAAAAAAGTCTGTCTCGCGCGAGATATTTGCTCGCTCGCGGAACGTGAACATCCTCACTCGCGAGGTTAAGCCTAGTTTATGCTCCTTCGTTTTCAGAGCGCCATAGACGCAAGCAACACAAGCCTCCCGCAGCGCACTAGGCTGCGATTGGTCCGCTAACTTTCCGCTTTCATAGCCCGATACCGCCATTATTAAAACGAAGAATGTTTACGAGAGAACGGATCAGATTTAAGAACTTCTGTCGGAAGAAATGCGTAAATATGAGCGCTTATACAAGCCGTCATTGGGTGGGTTGTAGAAGCGGGTTGGATTCATGGAGGGAGATCTCCGCAAACGCCGGTTTGCCGGTCGACAGGTGCACAAAGTTGTGGAGGAAAATACGGGACAGATGTGTCCGTGATGAAAAGCAGCAGTGGCGATGCACGGGGCAATAAAGTCTATGATAAATAAATAAATAAATGAATAGACGTGACTCTCTGGGTCGTCTTCTACAAAACACGTCACTCCGCCTGTTGTTCTGGTGGTGAATTGCTCTGCAACACACGCAGAACCATGAATTAAAACGAGTGCGTCGACCCAACAACGCAGACGCAAACGCAGAAGCATGCGCCGGCCTTTAGTCTCTGCTCGCACTCGAAGGTGTTTTCTATGCACTCGCTGTTTTTCTTGCTGACAGTATGGGGGCGGAGCCAGTCACCACGATCTCTACCTCTGATTGGTTACAAACCGCGTCTTTGGATTGGCTGGAGTGATGCATAGAAGCCCATTTCCGCACTAATGTAAGGTGATAAAAAGTCAAAATTATGAGATAAAACGTTGTCAAAAAACAAACACCCCCCTTCGGTAATCGTAGTGGACCGTAGATGACAACCAGCTATAACCATCATTTACCATCATTACCGGCACATTAAGAGCAATGCGTCCAGCTCGCAGACCGGTCCGTCAGTCTGAATCGGAATATCTAATAACTTTACCGAACTATGGAGGAGCCTGCGCATATCTTACCTCATTATTTCGATTTTCCAAAAAGTCGAACCGTATTGAAAGTTGGCAAGATATTCACAGATTTGGACTTTTTTTCCGGTATTTTACAAATACGGACCGGTCTGAGACTAAGAGCAGCTTTTTCTTCATTTAAAAGAAAAATTAATCTGTTTTAATATTTTTTTAACAAAGGCTACTTCCAAATGCAAGCTGCATTGGTTCTTGCATTGTTGATAGAAAATCATATTTATGGCAAAGATTTTTTTTTTCTTATAAAAAATTAGAGAAGGAGAAGAATTTATTTAATTATCAAATACAGTAAGAAGTGATTAGCAACCTCTGAATAGCAAACTCAGATTTGAGAAAATGTAGAAAATCGAGATGCATCGATAATCGTTTTATCAGTTTAGAATCGATAAGCGGTTTGGAATCAAATCGTTGACCTCTGAATCGGAATTGAATTGAATCGTGAGGTGCCAAGAGATTCCCACCCCTAGGGAACCTGGATCGTCACGCTCAAAGGAGCAATCACCAGAAAGCTTGCCTTCTCTAACAAGTTCTAATCGCTGATGTTGTAACCGTATTTTGGCTTGCTCAGTATCCTGCTTCAACCTCTCCAAATCAAGTTCTCTTTGCTGTTTCAATTTATTGTGATCGAATTGTAACAATAACAACTCTTTGTTGCTCAAATGTCAGACCAGTGCTAGGCAGAACTGGTGTTACCGCCACTACAGGACTAGGGTCCCTTAACCCGGCCTTCAAAACGCCTGCCGAAACCCTAACCCTAACCCAAAATAGATCTTACAGTATCCTTGAGACGTTTGTCACTAATCTCAACATGGTAATAGTCACTCAACTTCAATAGCTGTTCCTTTGTGAATTTCAGAAGCAATTCTTCAAAAGGAGCCTTAACAAAATCATCAATAGATGCCATGATGCTACACCTAAGAAATAGTTACAAATTGTACTGTTGCGCACCTTAACTACAAACAAAGATACAGTCGACTCAACAGTGTACAAGCAGTGTATTTCCCAATATTCTCCCAAATCCTATGGTTAACTCAACCCTAGTCTTCAGTGGCTTTGCGGTGGGTACTTATGCACTGAAGCCCGCTAGCACAAAGTAGGACCCAGCTAGCTGGTGACCAACCCTGAACCACGGATGTGCACCCGAGACAACTGCTCTACCCGCTATCACCACACAAAAATAACAAACTAGCACAACATGCCCCCAATGGCAACACGCCGCTATGCCTAACAGGGGTCACGGTGTGGTTCACGTCCTGTCTTATTTTGTAGTTTTCTGCCACCCGTGTCCCCGGGTAACTTCACTTCCTGCCTTGTCCTGTTATACCCTGTGATTGTCTGATCGTTTCCACCTGTGTCCAATCACCTGCACCTCCCTAGTGTATTTAAGCCGTGTGTCTCTTGTGTCCCTTGTCGCGTCATTGTCGAAAGTCCTGGATGTCTCTCAGTCCTGCCTGCCCTTTTCCCCCCCCTGGTACCTGTATGCGTTTTTGCCCCTTGGCCCTTTTGTGTTGGAGTTTATGACTATTAAAGTCTTTTTGCTTTAAACTCTTCATTTGAGTCCTGCCTCCCACACACCCCTGACAACAGGGGAGAAGACTGGTAGTGGGAAAACACACTCATACACTAAAAAGACAACGTACTTTCATCACCAGATAACCCAACAGGAAACAGGACTGTCTCTAGCCAGAACTGGAAAAGAGACCTTGCAAACCTCTCTCCACCAATGCACCAACCAAACGTAATTTACACAAGTAACCAAACCAATAGCATAAAAGCTAAATGCACCAAAAAAAATTGTAACTTAACACAATCACAAAGGTCAACATGTAACTCCCAATACACAATAGCCCACACAAATGGCCAAAAGCCATACAAACCTTTACCCGAAGTTAAGGAACCACAAGACCCACCAGAGAGTCACCAAATTGCGCTTAACTACTACCGGACTAGGAGAACACCAAAATAGCCAAGGCTACGATTAGCGTAAACAAAATGGTGGCTGACCAGCCACACACAAAGAGCCATTAAGCAAAAACACCAACCAAATGGCCAACAAAACTAACCCCAAAAAAACCAAGGCACGAACTGGACGAGCCCCCATTTGTCACAACCCGGCTCATGGAAAGTGACAAACAAGTCCACACGTTGACTTAAAGAAATAACAAAGGTTTTATTCAAGAACTAACAAAGTGTGAATATACAACTGAAAACAAACTGGTGAAGTGTAAAAGTAGGCATATGAGGGGTGTAATGGAAATGCATGGATGAATATAAGAAGTGTAGGTGTTAAGAAGTGTACTTAAACAAAATGCATACTCTAACAAAGACTAAATTCAAATGGTGCTGGTAGAGAGAGAGAGAGAGAACAGGCTGGACTCCAGGAACTATATATTGTTGAGTTGTTAAACACAACAGATGTTATCAAGGTGTCTTGGATGTTCTGTGTTTCTTTTTAATTCGATGTTCAGGAAAACAACATCATTATTGATTAATTAAAGTGTGACATCAGAACTGATAATGATTCCTTTTTGGTTCCAGTGACTCACTCTCTGAAGTTTTTCCTCACTGCGTCCTCTGGACTCCCAAACTTCCCAGAGTTTGTGGTTGTTGGGCTGCTGGATGAAGTTGAGGTTGTTCACTATGACAGTGACACCAGGAGAGCAGAACCCAGACAGGACTGGATGAGCAGAGTCACAGAGGATGATCCTCAGTACTGGAAGAGAAACACTGAGATCAATATGGACACCCAGCAGGACTTCAAAGCCAACATTGAAATAGCAAAACAAAGCTTCAACCAAACTGGAGGTTTGTTTATATTTCACACTTTTTGTTTGTATTTGCATCCTTTATGTTATTACACACACACACACACACACAGAGATTAAACAGTCTGAGATCTTTTCTTGACTGAAACATTTTCCAGTTCCTAAATATAAGTATATAAACACAATGAATACTTTTCCGTGTTGTTCAGGATGAAGAAGATTTCCTCTCATCCTGATTAGAACTCCAGCTTAGATTAGATGAGCTTTACTTGAGCTCAGGGAGTCGATGCTTCAGTATTTCATTCCAGGTTTTATCAGATGACGTCCAACATGTTCTAGTTGAGGTGCCTCACTGAGACGACTTCTTCCTCTTGTCTGTTTGAAATGGTGATGAATGAAATACTGCTCAGTGTTGTTCACACACAAGGTTTCATCAGCCCCTGACATTTTACAGTGTGAACAATTCATGGATTCATTAGAAATAGTTATTACATCATCTGCAAAGACAAGAATAATTAGTTTGAGCCCAAAATCTGGTGTATGATACAGATGAGAGTTAATGAACTAAAGTGGACTGCAGTGAGTTTAGAACAAACATTCAGGATATTTAGTGTTGAAACAGTGAATCAATTAGTCGATGAACAGAAAATGAATCAACATGAATGTTGATAATCAGATGATGACTGAAGTCTTTTATCAAGCAAATATGTTTCTCTCTCTCTCTCTCTCTCTCTCAGGTGTCCACATTGTCCAGAGGATGATCGGCTGTGAATGGTATGATGAGACCAATGAGGTCAATGGTTATGATCAGTATGGTTATGATGGAGAAGACTTCATATCATTTGACCTGCAGACAGAGCAATGGATCGCTGCAAAACAGGAGGCTTCCATCATCAAACAGAAGTGGAATCAGAACAGAGCTCTGATAGCAGGGAAGAAGAACTTCCTGACTCATGAGTGTCCTGAGGGGCTGAAGAAGTTCTTGAGCTACGGGAGGAGCTCTCTGATGAGAACCGGTAGGATCACATGACCTGATGTCCTTCCATGGACACGATGCTCATCAACCTTCTGTTGTTTCATAGCAACATGTCAGAGACACACAGAGACCCACTGTGTCTCCCACATTTCTCCCCCCTCACCTCCTTCTCTCCTTCACTGCACTCCCTCCCTCACTCCCCCCCTCACACCTGTCCCCACTCTGTCCCTCCATCCTCTTTGTCTCTGCTGTGTTTCTCACTGTCTCTTTACTCTCTCTCACACACTGTCCTCCTCCCCTTCCAATCCGTCTCCCCCCTCTTCATCTGTTTGTCTCCCTTCTTTAATCAATGAAACTTTAAAGACATTTCATTCTTTTAGTAAACTTAAATACACATAGTTGAGTGTTAAAGAGGCATTTTAAATACATCAAAGATGAATGATATTAATACACTAAATATCAGTGATAATAATAAAGATGTAACCTGTCCCTCTCTTCTGTCTCCAGAGCGTCCCTCGGTATTTCTCCTCCAGAAGACTCCCTCCTCTCCAGTCAGCTGCCACGCTACAGGTTTCTACCCCGACAGAGCCGCCCTCTTCTGGAGGAAAGATGGAGAGGAGCTCCATGAGGACGTGGACCTCGGAGAGATCCTCCCCAACCACGACGGGACCTTCCAGATGAGGGTTGACCTGAAACTGTCCTCCGTCCCTGCTGAAGACTGGAGGAGGTACGACTGTGTGTTCCAGCTGTCTGGTGTGGACGAGGACATCGTCACCAAACTGGACAAGACCAGGACCAACACGGGTAGGTCTGAGACCCGGAGCGGTGAAGGAGGGAAGCAAACATCCACTTTGTCCACTTTGTGTGTTTTAGATTTGGGAAGTTTTGTTTTCTTACATTTCTAGTCTAGTTTTTATTTGTAGTCATTTTAAGACTTGGATCATTACATTACATTACATTACATGTCATTTAGCTGACGCTTTTATCCAAAGCGACGTACAATAAGTGCATTCAACCGTAGGGTACAAACTCAGGAGAACAAGAAACAAGAAAGTGCAATTTCCTCAAATAATTAGTTTGATCCAAAAATCTGGAGTTTATAACAAACATTCAGAATATTTAGTGTTGAAACATTGAATCAATTAGTTAATCAGATGATGACTCACTGACTTTTATCAAGCAAATATTTCAACATGTTCTCTCTTCTTTTGCTCTCTCTCTCTCTCTCGGTGCACGAGTGTGTGTGAGCGTCGCTGAGTGAGCAGTTGTCTCTCTTTGTTTTTTTCCCTTAGGGTTAGGGTTATTATATATTAATTTAATATGGTTTAGTGGTTGTTTTTCACTTTAGTTGTGGGGTTAGTCGTTTTTTTTTCTTTGGGTTTTCTTCTCTCCTGCCGGTGTCTCGCCGGTCGGCGTCTCTAGACGCCATGGTAAATGGAGACACGTTCTCCCAGCTCACGAGGAAGCACGGCATTAAGATCGCCGCTGGCTTCTCGTGCAGCGTGGAGGACATCGGGCTGTGGGGGAGAAGGTCGGGCACAGCAGCGTTAAGCCGGCCTCGCGCATGAGGACCTTTTAAATAACATTGTGAAAAGTTTTAGTAAGGCATCGGCAGCGAGGGTGAACTGGAAAAAAAGTGAAGCCCTCGCTGTCGGTGAATGGCGTGGCGGCCTCCCAGTTCTTCCCTATAGCCCAGTGTGGAGGAAAGATGGTTTTAAATACCTGGGGATTTATCTGGGACAAGAGAGCATCGTCCAGAAGAACTGGGAGGGCGTCACAGAGAAGATAGAGGGGAAACTTTCCAAATGGAAATGGCTGCTCCCTCAAATGTCTTTTAAAGGTAGAGTTTTGGTTTTAAACAACCTGATTGCATCCCAGCTGTGGCACCGTCTCACCTGCCTGGACCCTCCCTCAGGCTTCCTTGCCAACTTACAGAAGAAAATGGTGGATTTCTTTTGGGGGGTCTACACTGGGTGCCAAAAGGGGTGCTGTTTTTAGCCAGAGAGGAGGGGGGACAGGGCCTCGTCCACCTGGCCAGCCGGACGACCACTTTTAGACTCGAGTATTTACAGAAATATCTCACAGGTCCGGAGTTTTTAGTATGGAGGGACGTGGCCAGCTGTATTTTCAGAAGTGCTAACAATTCGAGAATGGATACTGCTCTGTTTTTAATTGATTCTAAATTTTTAAAGTTAAATGGGCTACCTCCGTTTTATCAGGGTGTTTTTAAGTCTTGGGCCCTTTTTAATCATAAAAGGTGCCCACAGTCTTTCTCTTGTACTGGTTATTGAGAGAACCTTTGATCCACAGAGCGAGGCTGAACATCAGCAGCAGTGGTACCCTCTGGCTAGAGTTCTGTTTTTATAAACACATTGGAGACGTAGACACTTTTAAACAACGTTGGTGTTTTAATAATGTTGTGTGAAATCAGTGGAAAAAATGAATTGGTGTTTTTTTTTTAATGGCATGAAATTAGGGGTGTAACAATTCATTCACTGAATCGATTTATATTCCTGCGATCCAACTGAATCGATCTGTGCGCCGCAAATCGGCATTCCGGACGACATATATCGATTACAAATCGATTGAAATGGTACATAATTGATTGTATCGATACTTGGAAACTGCACATTGGATTTAAGCACAACAACGGTATGGATGTGTGTGTGTGTGTGTGTGTGTGTGTGTTTGTTTTTCAGCACTTAAGACACGTTAAACGTTACTGGATTCAGTCTGCCTGTCTGTGACGTCATCAGTACGCAGTACCCGCGAAACAAAACACAGCGTGGAGGAGACGACTGCGAGCGAGACATTTACAAACCAACTTATCGATCCAGTGGAAACATTTTGGCTTTTGCAAACACAGAGGTGTTCTAAATAAGCCAGTGTGTGTTTTAAAGAGGCGTGGAAGCCTAAAAAAAAACAGGGAAACCGAAAAAAACTTTCGGGCCATGTCTAACGTTTCCTGCGATTAACAAGGCCCAGGGGGAT